AAGACAGAACCCTCAAAAGGTTCTGTCGAATTTTTTATCCGTTTTTTGAGACTTTGGAGACATTTGGATGCTTTTAGAAATCTACAGAACCTTTTTGAGGGGTTCTGCAAACCTCCTTTTTTTTTTCAGAGTACTAAATCGAATATATCCGGGGAAAACTCATTGTTTTTATTTTTGTCCCATGGTGAAAAATATTGTTTTAGCATCGATTTTTTTTCGCTTTATTTTTCGTGGGAATATAGTTATGCCATTAGATAGAGCTCGACGATCTCTATCTGGCACACTATATTCCGATATTGGCACACTCAGATGTGCGAATTGTCCCAAGAAAAATTCGAATCGGTCGCTAACTTTACTTACATCAATTTTCCTAATAAGAAATAAAATATAATTTGATGGTTTAAAGAATAAAAAATAAACTAACTCTCTGCTTCGACTTGTTGATGGGAACATACAATTAAATTTTGAATTTCACATTTGGATTCGATTGTCGAATGAGAACATAATATGGAATTTTCCAGAGTTACTCTATAATAATTAAAAAGAAAATAAATAAATTTATCTATTTAACATTTTAAAAATTTTTACCCTTCTTTAACATAAACATTATCTAGTAAAACACAATTAGCTATTTTACATTCATTTTCAATTTGGCAATTCTTTCCAATAATAGTTCGTTTAGCTATCGTTTTTCCTCCAATAACATGTCCATCACCGACAACATAATCAGAACTAATCTGGAATTATATATAGATATTACATTCTATCTCTGTTTTTAATAAAAATAAAAGCTTTAATATTTAAATAGATAAGAGATATTTTACATCTATACTCAAACATTTGATTTTGTCATTTTAATTTGTACTATGTCAAATTCAGTAGTAATATAAGTACAGAAATATTCTTTGAAATAAACAAAATTTTACTTCAATCTGTTCTAATCGATCTTTAAATGTAATATCTTCATTGGTATATGATAAAATGAGTGATGATGCCTTGAAAATACGAAAAAAAAAACAAATATAATAATAAAGTAAAATAATATTAATAACTGACTTGTCGATTAGCCTCAGAATACGAAAGAACATGTTTAACAGGAAAAAATTTGTGTTTCATCAATAAAATAATAACAACCTCCTCTTATGTGTTGATTATCACAATCATATTGTTCTGAAAGTCTTGTTAAATCAGGATGATTATCTAAATTAGTGGCTATTTTTGTTTTAAATTGAATCAAATTTAAATTTCAATAAAAGCAAAGAAAAAAACTAAAATAAAAACAAATCTTTTTGTCTCATCATCATCGTTACATTAGCAGATGTTGAAATGAGATCTTCAAGTGATTGACCAGTTGCTATTCGTTGAATTATTTCTGGTAAAAATTTTTTACGAAATGATGAAGAATTTGAACGAATAGCAATATCCAAACAAGATTTTTTTATTAAATATAAATGAGCATCAACTAAATCTTGTCGAATGATTGTTCGAGGATATCTTATTAACAAAATAATTTATTTTATATTAAAAATATTTTATTATTATCTTACTTAGCAAGAATATTTTGTTTTAATAGAAGATATTTATCTGAATTAGCTTTTATTCGTATTGATATTATTGCATTAGTTGATTGATCAATTGTATAAAAGTCACGTACTATTTCAAAACATAATTCACTTATATATAAATTTAACAAGTTTCGTTTTGTATTGTCAAATTCTTCGTTCAAACATTAGTTTGAATAACAAAAATTTCACCTATTCAGTTCATCATTATATAATTTTAAGAAAAGTATACAGAGCTATGTTTTAAAGTAGAATTTTTTCGCTGTTTTATGACTAAATAGAAATGACAACAATCAAACTGAAATTCTTATCAGAATTGTTATAATAAGACTAATATCTAAAAAACAAAAATATTTTTTCAAGTTTTTTTTCAAAGAAAACTTTTTACATTTTTCCTCATACCAATTTTCGAAATGTTATAATATTCTGACTAAACAAATAACTCTATTTTTTTCTATTTATATATAAAAGATTACGAATTATAAAAAAAAAACATTTCAATTGAAAAAAAACAGAAAATTTGAAGTTAAGAGTTAAGATGATATTGACTAATTATCGATTTTTTTCTATTAGAAAAATCAGAAAAAGATAAAAACTTTTTTAGAACAAAGAAGCAATTGATTTGTAGACTATTCTATTTGATTATTTAATTAGTTCGATTACAATTTCTTTTAATTCAAAAAACAAAAAGAGAAAACATTCATATAAACGATTAAAGTAAATTATTTAAATATATTATAGTCTAACCTGTAGTAAATTTAATTTTTTCTCCAGGTTGTACAAAAGATTCTTTTCCAGTTGTTATTGATGTTGTTCTTTTAATTAAAAGCATAGATAAAGATGCATCTCGGACTCTAAACATATCAATTAATGGTGTCAAGTTAACTTTTCCAAAAAGATCACAAGTAATAAGACATTAATTCAGTTTTAATACGAGAATAACATGAATGAAGAATATCTAATGTATCTAATTTATCTTCCGTTTGTTCTTGATTATTAGTTGTTGATTCATGATATTGTCGATAAATAATGATTTCATATGTTATATTTAATGCTGAAAGATAATCATCAAGAACTTGTTGATATTTATCAGATGTTAATATAAGTAATGTTAATGATGATAATAATGAATGAGATTGAATTATTTGAAGACTATACCATATTAAAGGACGATTTCCAATAGGTAATAAACATTTTGGTATAGATAAATTTGTTGATAAACGATTATTTCCACCAGAATATAATATTACTGTAAATTCTTTCATTTTATTTTTATAAAAAAAAGAGAAAACTTTAACAAATATATTTTATATATAAAAGAGAATAAAGAGATTTTGTAAACCATTTCATTTAATATCTATATTGAAAATTTGTTTTATAAGAAAAAAATAATAAGACAATATATTTATTTTCATACAATTCATAGAAATACTAATATGAAATCAAAATGATACTATTGAAAGAAACAATAAATATTTATTTGATAAAGATAAAACAATATGTTCTAGAAGATCTAAAAGCAAATGCAAACGAAGTGATTTTTTTTTTTTTATTCTTTATTTTAAAATAATAATAACAGAGAAGAAATCCATTATTTTATTTTATTATGTATTTTTTTCTTCTAAAGTTGAACACAAAAAAGACAAGACACACAAAAGAAATGAATTGACTTAATTTATGTTTTTTTTTCTAATTTAAATTAAAAATGGAATAATTGCTTTGCTTTGTTTTGGGTATTTATCAACAAATTCTGTTTTATAAGCTTGATGTTTTTAGTTTAGTTCGCATAATCATTTGTACAGCTCTAGCAAAAATAAATAAACGTGCTGTTAATGTTTGTATCATTAATAAAAAACCTAACTATAAACCAATTTCATATGTATAATTAGGACATGAGACCAAATAAAACAAAATTTATAAATGGTTTTCTTTTATTTCGATATGATAGACGACGTTCATTTGTATCGGGTAGACGAAAAATTACGAAAAAGTAAATGACTTGATAAATTACCAATTTCATTTAACTCAAAATTTCTTTTTAAATAATAATTAACTAACTCTATAAAAATAGTTAACTATAAATAAATTTGAGTATAACTAAATGATATTGAAGTTTATTTTGGATAATTAATAAAATATGAAACAAATTCAGTAAAACTCCATTAATAATTACAAATCTATTAGAAAAATAAAACTTGGTATTATATTAAATTGAATAGGTAAGAAAAGATAAATGTATTACTTTAAATAAATAAAATTATGACATTCTTGCATAAGAAAAACGATGAACAAAATATTGTTTCTAATATACATTTTTCATAATGAAATATTCAATTAGCAGCACTCAAACTAAATAATTAATAAAGAAATTATTCTTTTTTTTTTCAAATCATATTAACTAACTGAGCAGCAAGATGCATTGGTTTTGAAACAGATGTTGAGACACATATAAGAGTGTGTGGGTGTGGATGGGTGTGGGTGTGAGTGTGGGTGCACATTAGCAAAAATAACAACACCCACATCCACCCCGATTGTACGAGTAAACGGAATAGATCTATCATAGCTGACACCATCGTAAGAATGAATTAGTGTTAATTAGATGAATCAGCACCGCTCCTTAAGGGGATTCTGCTTATGTCGGATGCTACGATTAGCACTATATAATGTTCTCTTGTAGTGTACGTTGACATAATACTTTCAATGCTTGTTCGTCTTCACATGATATGTCAAGAGTTTTTCGAAGCAAAAATAGATAAAGTATTGATTTAGGTCACCAATTAAAATCAAGACTATGATAGAGCAAAGAACTGTCGAGAACAATGAACATCTCTTGTTGCATCTGAGAAAGAAAAAATCGATTGAAAAGTGACGATAGCAATAACACAGCGATTTCTATTCGATAACAAACGTTTACAGCTGTTCTTCAGAATCAAAGTAAGATGAAGGTCATTATTTAAATACTTGATTGAAAACACCGACGAAATAACTATTCCAGGTCTTTTTCTTGCGTATTCTGTTGTCTTACATTGGAGATGGATTTGTTATTACGTTTTTTTCACAACTGGTGCGGTTAAATGAAAATAGCAGTGTGGATGTGAACAGAACATCCAAACCCTCCTTACATCTATCCACAACCACGTCACATAGTCATACCCAAACCCACACCCTAAGGGAATACATTGACTAAGAGAAAAAAATCATCTCTCATCTTTTCTGTCGTTTTAAAGATATAACCAATGTCGCTATACATTTCTTGTTTTCTTCATCTTCTTACTATTCAACATTAGCTCTTTTTATGACTCATATGCTTATGATTTCTCCTTCAAGATGATATATCTATGGTTTTCATCAATAAACAGTAAGTAGATGAAATATATTTGGGGTGGTGTGTGGATGTAGGTGTGGGTGTGATTTGATTTTTATTCTATACTCACACTCGCACCCACACCCACACGCCTACACCCACACCCACATCCCATACCCACACCCCACACTCACGTCCATACCCCATACCCGCTTGCGGCTGCCCTGATAAGGTTTTCTTCGCAAGGATTTTCATAAAAAAGTGGTTTTTAAGAAAGCTTGGTTTTCAGATAAAACCTTTCTTTTTGAGTATTGACATACATATTCTGCACTATGTTTACTGTGTTGGTCTGCTGTTTGAGAGAATCGATCATTTCGTATTCGTCATCAAACGATAGGAAAAGCATTTTTTATTCTCGGAGTACGTGGATCGAGGCTGTCTCCTGAGTATACTTGATAGTTACCGGACAATATAGGCAAGTGTCGTCAGCTGCAAGATTATATACTAGTTGCCTTCCACGCCATTGCTCTTTTAAGAGAGTATGATTGAAGTGGACTTCTTATTTGGAAATGCCACATTAGCAAGAAGAAGAAAAGATAAAAATGAAATCTTCTTTCCACTTTGATGATCCAAATTGCTGTCTGCCGATAATAAGCTAGTAGTGACCTTGTAAGAAGAAAACCCAACTGTATTGTACAAAGAAGAGAGGAAGCATTCATTCTCACTCACCAGGACACGAACTTTTGTCCATAGCAAACATTTGAACTCTATTATTGTTTGAATCCGAGACGTACAAATTTCCATAATTGTCAAACGTCAAGTAGGAAGGATAAAAGAATTGATTCGCGCCACTACCTCGACCATTTCCTCCAGCAATGACAGTGCCTGTACCATCGCTACCGACGGGTATGCGTAGAACGCGATGGTTGTAACTGTCTACCACATAGACCGTACCGATATGATCGATATGAACACCCATTGACCCACTGAGTTGATCTGTTCGATTACCCTCGCCCTTGCCACCTGCGACCACAATGCCTTCTGTCGCGTTCACTCGCCATTGCATGATCCGGTTATTCGATTCGTCTGCTACATATACAGCTCCGCTCTCATCGACTGCCACTCCCCAAACTAGGCAACAAGTGAAAGAGAGAGAAGGTGTTCAGACTTGCACAAAAGTCGTCAAACAAACTTTGACTTACCCCTATTAAATTGGTTGAGAGCCTCTCCGTACCCATTGCCACCAGCGACCAGTTGTCCGCCAGTTCCATCCTTTGCGTACTTGAGAACACGGTTTCCAATGCGGTCAGCGATATAGAAGAATTCTTCTTTCATATCCAAGATGATATCACTAAAATATGCATAAGCAACAGAGATGAGTGTCTCGTCTTTCTCTGCTCCTTGCATCCAACGTGTCACACGAGCGGGTGCCCCGTCAGTAATGAATAATGTGCCATCTCTATCGATAGTGAGACTTCTAGGAAACGATAGTTGACCATTTCCGAAGCCTAGTCCTTGCCCACCAGCGACAACACTACCATCTGATGCCCCTTTTTCCCATTTCATCACACGATGCTGGTTATGATCAACAACGAATAGAACATTGTCCGCGTCGACAAACAATGCGTATGGAGTGTTGAATTGATTTGTACCATTTCCTACACCATGGCCACCGGCCACAGTTGTCCCGTTTGGTGACCAGCTTGCTGTTGGACATGGCATACCTTGAAAGATAACGTTGCTTGTCGTCTCTCTAAAAGTCTTCTTCTACTTCTTCGAACAAAGTCTTATTTTCAGACACCCACATCGTTCTAATATATCTTTCTTTTGAACGAGTGATTTTTTACAGGAAATACGCACATGAAATGTCTTAAAGAGCTCCTCAAAACTTCTGTGAGTGTCACTTTTATCAGTCGATAGACCAGATGATTGTCTACAAGAGTTGATGCGTTTCAATTTTGTGAAACTTTCTGTATCAGAAAAATTAAAAAAGTGTTGAACTTTAGAGCATGGTCCAGATCGGGGAGCGACACTTTTTTGGTACTTTTTCTAGCCAAATTTAACCAGGAGCAGCAAAATTCGTAGGCCAAAAATGATATTTTTACTTCGACAGCTAACGTAGTTTTCTTAGAGAACTTTGTTTTATTCAATCGCCTGACCCCCGCTGCCCCCTCCCTTTACGGACACAACAAGACTCTTTCGTGCAAAAAAACGCAGAATATGAGAGCACTGCCGCTAGTTTTCAAGTCCAAGAGTTTCACATTTTTGATGGCTTGCGGTCATCCTCCAAACAACTGATTTTTCAATTTTCTTCGTCGACTAAACAGCATTAAGAGATACTTTATGAGAGAATCGAGCAATAGCCGTGATCACATACGTGAAAATCCTGAATTCTAAAAAATTCTCCATGCAAAAGTGAGGTTATGACGTTGGGAAAACAATTTTTGAAAATTTCTGAGAGGACTTATCGAATTTACGAAACATAGAGGACAAGGATTTCTTTAAAAACATATTTTGCCATTTTTTCACCAATTTTTGGGCCTAAAGTTTTGAATAACGCGTAAATGAATGACTATCAAAAATTGCATCTTCTCAAGGGTTTTGATGTCAGATTAAAACCGTACAAGGTTCAGAAACTTTGAAGTTTTCGTTTTCGAAATACTTAGGGGTACCCAAAAGTAGTGGCGGTCGCATCTCAATTTCGTATAGAAGGCTTGATGAAATTTTCTGTTTTTATGAGACGATAGAGAAAATGAAGCTCTATTTTTCTGTGCTATTTCATCCCTATTCAGCTGGTATCATAATAATGAAATTTCGATAAGAACTGTTTTTTGTGTAAAACTTCACTAACGCGTGAGGCAGATNCCATGAAAATAGCATCAAAATGTTCATTTTAACTTGCTCTTTCGAATGATGTATGATTCAATAGGGTTATCACGGAAAATTCCTAATGGGCCGATTTGGCCTCTTATGCGCCCCCGTCCTTTCAAGTCAATTTTTATCATGGAGCAGAGTATATATACTAGTCCTCAAATTTCAGCTACATAGGGAGACGACATATCGGAACAAATCAACGCCCATTTTACTATTCGGCTATTGTAAGCATCTGCAATATAAACAGCAGCATTGTCATCGACAAAGAGTCCATATGGATGATCGAGTTGATTCAATTGAGATCCGTATTCATTTCCTCCAGCCACTGTGATACCATTCTTGTCCCATGTTGCACTTGCACAAATGCCATCGTCAATCATCGAGAGACCTGTCAGACAATGGAAATATACATGATAGATTCTTCAATTTTTAACCGCTTACTTGTTGTCGTAGGTGGTATAGATGGGCACATGTCACGAGTCGCCGTATGTATTGGATAGCAAAGTGGAAGATTGTGGCAGCGTGGGTGTTTTACACACACATGATCAGGCTCAAAGCATGTCTGATTATTGATAGCACATGAGTTCAATTCGGAGCAGGTGATACCCAGATAGGCACAAATGGCGTTATTATCATTAGAGCTCAGAGGAAGACACCCACAAGCAATGTTCGACGAACATGGATCATACTGAACGGCATCTTCACATACTTTAGCTCTGACTCTATCTATTGCATGAAAGCAAACTGACAGATAGAAGCACTAAAAACAAATAATGCCTATACCTGTGAGACTAAAAGAGATAATAAAATTATATCATGCATGAACTGCTAAAGTGGATAACGCACCTTAGAGCAACCAACAACAACAACAACGCTATATACGACGTAGCATGCATCATTGTGATCAGTTTTACGTTGCTTGTGCACACTGAGCCATCCATTCACGGTGGGATCGAGACCATCTGTCAAAACATACACATATCATCGTTGCTTTATGTCATTCGTTCTTCGCATGATTCGCTCTTATCGGACTCAGATTCATTTAACAAACATATTTGCTTATCAAAAAGAGAACCAACTATATTGAGGGAGAATACAAAGCAGCTTGGCCAAACAGTAAGCACAGACTGTATGATTGAGGCGCCATTGTGCTGATTTACACATTGCAGAGACATGTGATGTTCAAACTTGGCTCGCACATAGTACTCAGCTAAAATCATTTTGCAAAGATTATGATATAGTTTTCGCACTGAAAACGCTTGCCCGATGGAAAATTTTAGCTTTCAGTCAGATGTCTAACTGAGAATCTTCATGGATGTGGGTGTGGATACAGATGTGACGCCAGAGAAATGACAGGCATACACGCTTCGAAAACGAATCGGTCATGTTTATTTTCATCTTCAGAAACTCACTTTGACAATGAAATTCTCTACTGAAGTTACTACGTATTTGGGATCTGAGTAGTGTTTACGGCAACTGAAAAAGAGATTGAAAATACTCTTGAGCAAGTAATTTTGTGACCCATTGCATATCATCAATCATATTTTTCGTTTTTGAAAACGAAATTCACTATAAACAACGAACGGGTGTTATAGAAATGCAATATAAAGAGTTTAATTATTTATCATTAGTACTTTAAGAATCGAAAAAACTGCTTAAAGATTTGTTATTGAACATACGCATTAAAGTAAAATTAATAAAGAAATCCTATGAATTGTCTTTGATGTTTTGCTTATGTCATAAGTAAACTGATAACATGCTTGTAATTATAATGGAGAAAGGAAACAAAAAAAAACGATGTCATCACCTTTTACTGTTGCTGTTCTCTTTCATTTTTTGCTCTCGGGCAATTATCAAATAAATATTGACGTGTTATTCTCCTCATGTCATTATCAGCAGGTATTTTTTCAAGGACAAAACTATGTCAACAGCAGTAGCAAATATTATCAAACTTCGATTTCGTTATTGGAATTGTCGTGGTCGTGTCCAAGCTGTTCGCTATATGTTTGAAGATATCGCATATACACATAAAATGTTGATTATAAAGAGAATTTTGAAGTACTCGAGAAAGCAGCTGACTCGTGGTTGACACGCAAGTTTGATGAAAGAATCTCTGGACCATTTCATAATTTACCTGTATTACATTGGAATGATACACATATTTTTGGTCAAACTTTAACAATAGGTTTGGTTGATTAATAAAAAATAGTTTCATTATCTCTTATTTGTTTCTAGGACAATTTTTAGCCCAAAAATTCAATTTATATGGTAAATTAACGTCATCGATCAATGATAAAGATCTTTTACACGGTTATATTGATGGTGTTGTTTCATGTGCATATACTGATGTTATAATAAATATTTTGCAATCTATATGGACAATGATTGATTTCGTTGATGAAACTAATCCAATGAATCTTTTAGTAAAACAAATTTCCAATGATTTAAAAACATTGAATACTTTACTTCAAAAAAAGTTCAACATCATTTTATTATGATCAAACAGAACCAACTATTGCTGATTATTTTGTTTTTGAAGCATTTACAGCATCACGTGATTATTGTCAAAAGTTATTACCTAATGCAGAAGATTGTCAAGCATTAATAAAACTGGAACAAATCATGAAAGAACGACCAGCTTTAGCGAATTATTTTAGTAAAGGTTTATTATTTAAACGTTTTACAGGATCACCAAAAGAAAGCGAATATATGGCAACATTAACTGCAATAAAAAAAATAATTTTCTTCATTTTATTTGAATTTATATGCAGAAAAAAAACTTTTTAAATCAATTTTCTAGATCAAAAAAACAGTTTCCTAAACACAATTTTGCTATAACATACGGAAAAGCCGCGAACTAGTTGCATCATTTGTTTTCACAGTCATTGCTTGAAAAAAGGAAGGGTCGAGTTTTGACTCGAATACGTACGATTCTTAAAAGGTTAATTCTAAAAGCCCGAAATAAATGCAGCTTTGTAGATTGTCTATTGGTGATTTGGATGCACAGTTGATACTTGAAAAGTCACTGTAGTAAATAGGGTGTGGATATGCGTATGATGGGCAGATCCACACTCACACCCCCAATCATTATTTCAGTAAACTCAGGTATTAGAATGACCTGTTCCCTTATTGACAATGTCCCTATATGATCTTTATCGAGCGAATGGATTCTTTTATACTGGCGAATCAGTGTCAAGAACAGTTAGCATAGCGATAGTGAAAGGATTGGTCAAAGGCAACAAAACATTACTTACGCTGCATGGTGAAACCAGTTGTACAAAACCCCATGCTTTCAATACTGACTACGGTATATCTCCGACAATTCTTTATTAAATGAGATGTTTTTACAAGCAAAAAGCGCCCATGCAAGTCGAAAACCATACAAAAAAAAAGATTAAGGTCACATTTCTACGTGTCAAGCCTTAACATCAAGAGAATGATTTTTGCATTTGATAACATGATTAGTGGTACATTGTGCGCTGGAAATCCGTTCAGAGTTACATTGAAATGAAACAAATGTATTTATATTTGATTCTTTAGTAGCGAGTTAAATCTAATCCAAGAAAAAAAAATTCTTTTCTCATTTCTCTCATATTATTGGTGGTGTCGTATGAGTGGCAGGTTAATATTGAATATGTGACTAGTATAAGTGTCAGTTCTATTTTAGAGTTCGAAGTGAAAGCTGAAGGCATGTTTACAAATTTTGATGTCAAAATACTTACTACATTAGCCACTAAATTGAATATTAACTCAAATTAGTGCAAGTGCATCAGCATTTAGTCTCCATCAGTTCTTCAAACAAAAAATAAAAATCTAAATACGATACAGTGACGGATACCTATCATATATGCACATTCACCTCTTAGGCAGTATTTCTGCGAAATAAATGATGACGAAACAGAACAACAGTTAATGATATCTGACAACTTGACACAAGCATGCTCAGATGTATATTGTACAGGATGATGCAAGTAAATATTGTCACAAATTTCTTTTTCGTCCTTTTATATCATGAATAAGTGCAACATGTTACATTTGCGTATGAATTTTTTTCTTGTATGAGTCAGGAGTTAACTATTAATCATACATCTTCATTTCGACACAGTTCGATATGGATCAAGTGAAGGTAAATAAAAATAAGGTTGTTTTAAGTATCACATGAATTTAAGTGTCTCGGACGAACTAAGTGAATTTGTCTATTGAATGCTTATGGATATCATATGAAGAAACGCAATAGCTTGAAAGTGAAATCAAAATCATGCTGAAAAGACTAAATTTATACGTTCGCAAATACTTTTTAGCTTTTTGTTTATTCATTTGATTGTAACTGTGACTCGCATAGTGTATAATCACGTTTCGCTTTTAGACGTATATTGTTATTATGGTACAATGACATCAATAACATTAGACGATGCTTCAGTTTCTGATATATTTAAAAGACGCAAAAAAATATATTTATTCATAAAATGTAAAATCAAATTTTCCTGTTGTGAAAGGCCGATAGCAGTGAATTAGAATAAATCTTCATTAATCATGGAAGGTGGGTAATAAAATATGTAACTATATTGAGAATATAACCGTCCGCCTACAATGTATCGATGACTTGACTAACTCTTCTCTTTTTCCAGTGCCATATATTTGACTCACTTCCTTTTCTCGCGTTACACTCTCTGGTATCTTCTTATATTTATCCGGATGGATATAATTTATAAAAATAGTTCTCTTGCGAAGACGTTAGAGACCATGCAGGGCAACTAAAAACACCGAAATAGGGACCAGTTTGATGGGTTCATACTACCAACAGGTTTGTTTTATTTTTCTATTTTCATCGATTGAATTCAATTTTACCAATGACTACGTCAGATAACCTAAAATCTCCCTATAGTGGGTACCTATGGGAATTTCTAGAAATGTCCTCCGTGCAGAGGTTCGGCTCAAGCCGAAATTTCTTCGCCTTTAGAGTCTCATCATGGAACTTATGATACTACAGAACTTGATCAGAAGACTATTCTGAGGAACTCTAGAGTTATGCAATCACTTGATTTAAGTAATTTATTTTCAGATAAATTTTCGAAATAAAAATTGGCTCAAACAATAGTGTGAATGTCACAATTAGTCTCGATCAATCGAATCGATTCTTCTATGCTGGTGAATTGGTTTCAGGAACCGTTTGTCTAAATATCAATGAAGAACCTGTCAAACTCAACGAAATATTTGTTCTGCTGAATGGTGAAAGTGGCTATACAACAACTCGTACTATACACGATGATAACGGCTCGACACGTATGGAAACGAACTATCATACAATATATTTTCTTTCGCAAAAACATATTTTCGAAAGAGCAAAGCCAGGAGAAAAAGAATTACGTTTCCAAGTTGGACAGGGTGTGGGTGTGGGTGTGGGTGTGGGGTGTGGGTGTGTCGGTGTGGGGTGAGGCGTGGGTGTGAGGGTGTGGATGTGGGGTGTGGGTGTGGGTGTGGGTATTGTTTCCACCCACACCCACCCCCCACCCATACCCACACTCTCACGCCACCTACCCACACCCACACACCCCACCCACACATTCCACCTACACCCACACCCCACACCCACACACCCCACCCACACCCACACTCTCAGTAGAAAAACAAATCACAATGATCGAACTTCATGTATAAGAAATATTTAGTTCTTTCAAAAGAACAATTTCATTGGCAAGTTTCAAAAGATGTTGGTGAGTATTTGAACTATTTACGTTTCATCAAAATAGGAACACTAAATAGAACAAAGAAAAAGATAGATAGAATGTTTCGAAGACTGTACATAGAAAAAGTTAAAAAGATAATGAATGATCTACTTCCCTTCAATTTATTTAGTATCGATTGTTATAAATTTCATCTTAATTGAATACCTTAGCATCAATGACACAGTTTTCTTTTCTATTTTCTCTGATATTTAACAATTGATTTCAATCAATAGAAAGATCTTTCGATTTAATGTCTTCCACAGACTGTTTCTGACAATGTAAAATCAACAAGATTAATACTTATTCAATCATATAAGTGCGAGAGTTCAAAAAATGATAACATAGGAATTTTTTAACAGTCGCTCTAGCAAAGTTTGAAATATGCTGGAATATTCTAAGTGAAATTCTCTCATTTTTGGTTTAAATTTCAAACTTGAGAAATATTTTCTGTTTTTTCAAGCAAACATATGCATCATCTTATTTAGAATTAAATTCAACATCAAATGGTACGAAAATCAATATTTCATTGGAGAAGTTTCATTTATGAAAAGATTTTTTTGCTTTGGAATGTATTCTGAACCCTGCTATGCTTGTAAATATAAATAAACGATGCACAATGTTAATCTTTTAGAATAAATTCTGATCAACACATATTTACACAAATTTCTTTCTTTTTTTATCTTGAGAAAAATAAATAATTGTATTTTTCAAAAGTGAATAGATATTATTCTGATGATAATAATATTAGTATAAAAAAATCCGTTGGAAAGATGAAATTGATAGTTTTGTTGAAAATCAAATATTTTGTCAAATGAAGTGAGCACTAGAATTTCAAGGCATTCTTTAAGTGTCTTTATCATAAAAGAGATAAATGAGTCCTTTATTATGGAAAAAATATTCATTTCTATCGATCTGTTTTAACTAAGATTTATTCGAGAAATACAGTTTCGAAATAAAAACATTTATTCATGATTGTTCAGAGAGATGACTTTGTTTTTATTGTTGATTTAACAAAGAAAATTCTTTAGTTAATATTTAAACAAGATTTTCAATATATATATATCGAATATGAAGATAAATTTAATACCTATAAAATAGTACAAATAATTGATCTTTGTCTATAAAAATGATTGTTCGAACAAGGAAAAACCGAATAATGTAAACAATATTTCATATGTTGTTTTTGACCATAAATTTGAATTTTTCGATAATCAGCAAAACATAACCAACAAAATTGATATTTACATATTGTACATGTCATATGATCACATCCAGAATGTTTTTCAATATATGAATGACATAATGGACATTTTTTTGAATTTATTCTAATCCATATTTGTATATTATGATCAATAGATGATATATTCATTTGATCATATTCTTGACATGTCATTTCAATATGCCATTTAACACCATGATAAGCGTATGTTAGTTTTTTGACATTTAATACAAGTAACTATTGGATTTGAATAAATATCCATATAATGTAATTGTCCTGAACCACATCCATTATGTGCACACCAAACAAATTCTTGAATTTGTTCAAGATGTTTATGTTTTAATTGTCAATTATATCGTTTAGATAATTCTAAATTATTTCCCATACGAAGAATACAATAAATACTTTCAAAAGTAAATATGGCCATACAATCAAGTTCAGGACAAATTATATTTGGATTTATCGTATTTTCAACAAGAATTTTTATATTATTATAAATACATGTATCACATATTGTTCTTTGACTATGTTTACATTGATTAGTATAAGATCCTTGAAAAAAATAAATTGGTTAATCTAATATACAAATAACACATTCGTGAGTTAATTCAGCAGAATTTCTAGAATTATTTCATCAGATAACAAGAATTTAATGTTATTGTTTATAATATCATACTCAATTAAGTTTGATATTCGCCTTCGTCGAGAATTTATTCTTTGAAAGGATGTATTCGTCGAATTATTAATACTATCTGTTGTTGATTTGATTTGAAATTCTCTTTTTTGGGGAATTTTTACATGGAACTAGATAAATGGATTAGTTTATTGAGAGAATATTCTCTCGATTATAAACTACTTAAAGAACTACGTAAATCAATAGAAATATTTGCTCCTTGATTTATTTCTGTATTATTAGTAGTTGATGGCATATACTTGAAGATATTCTATAATTTATTTTCATTGGTAATTTATCTAAATAATAAAATGAATAGAGAATAGAAAGAATTCTATGAACAAAATACTGACAATGATGTTTAGTTGTTTGACATGTACGAATATGTTTATTAGAATAATCTGTTTTATTAACATAAGATATTTCTTCATGTTGAATAGGTTGTTGACTAGGAAACAATCTACTATTTAATTGATCACTAGTTGTTAAAACTTCTCTTGGAATTAATGGTTTTGACTTACAAATCATATAATTAGCTTGAGCCATCATTAATCAAACTTAAAT